CGTTCGGCATTTATCTTACGCGCATGCCACACACCCGCCGACAATCGTACGATTCTCGGCGAGTTTTCAAACATGTTCCTAAGATAAAAGTTGTGCGACCTTACAGTAGAAACGGTCGCACACCTTCCACACACCTTGTGATTATCGTACGATTGCGAGATTCCCCGCGATTATCGTACGATAATCGCAAGGTGTGTGGGCACCTTTTAAACTCCAACTCCTCGAGATCTCCAATGACCTGACTTGCAGCTTGCAGACATATTGAGTGGGGCAACTCAGATGAATTATGCGCTGGATTAGTCTGACCCTACTTCATTATAATACTTTATTGCTGTGTAGGGAAATGCCACAGGTGGCGCACGTGCAGTACAGCCTTCTCAGCCAAACCTCTTCTGACTAAACCGGAAGTCAGGTCGTTGGAGATCTCGACGAGTTGGAACTTTCAATAGAAAACACTAATTTACCCGTTTTGGTAACAACTCTACAAGAGTGGAATTCACTTCACATGTTAGTTTTTTTCCCCCCATTCCCATTGGATGGAAAGAAAAGGAAAAAACTCCAATGGGAAAAAAATAATCTGATAGAGGTTTTATCAGTTCTGTACTCCTGTGAGGTTGCTGTTCTATTGTGCAGCAGAGCTCAGACTTTGGGAGGCAGTAGCATCAGAAAGAGCAGAGAGACAACCTAACGAGTGTTGTTTCTTTCCAAAAAAAAAAAGGTTTTGGCGATACATACATTTTAAAATGTAATGCCAATCAAAGTGAGGCTGACTTTGCCCCCATATTCTCTTCTCTATCACAAAACATGAAGAGCAACCCAGTGAATTCTTCCTTCATTATAAGAGCTGAGTAGCTAGAATTTTGTCATATTTCAGGGTAATTTTCACTATATTATAAGTGTTTTTTGCTAAGTGGTGCTTGGCTTATATAGACTTTGTGTCACTTATTCCAGTGAAATTACTCCTTTCACCCTTCCAGTAGATGGTTTAATCCAGCTGTATTTGGGAGTATGTTATTGAGTGCTGAAGCAATTGCTTTTCTCATCGATGGCTACCGAGCTGGCTACCTCATCGTCCTGTATGGCAGTATGGCCGCTGTAGACTGAGAGTAACCCTAAATGTCCAAGGCTGCAGCACTTTGCTCTAAGCTCTCTCTTCCCCACTCAGATGAAGGGAGCTTACCGTCGGCTCACGATTAATCTTCCTGTCCCGCTGCTGGATATTGTCACTTATGAACAGTAATGAAAGGGAAAAAAGTGTCATTTTAGAGACTGACAGATGTAAGGTCTCCAGAAGTAGACCAAACCTGGCTGAAATGAAATCGTGACTAATAGAGGATTCCACCCTTCCCCATATAGAGCATGCACCAGCATTATTTTTTTTGCTTGTACCTTGTACAACTTTTTCTTTTTTTTTTTTTACCCCTGTGATGTCATCAGGCTTGTAACATTCTTGCTATTAACATAGGAATATCCCCAGAACCACATCTACCAAGAATCCTTTCCCTACAGTCAGCTTGCTCTTGTTAGTCAAGCCAGCAGCATTTATTTCCATATATGCATATGGAGATAGTCATAGAGGGTTAGCGGATGTGGGAAGTTCAGTTGTGAACAGGTAGAGCCAAAAAAGTACTGTGTCAGCTGAAACAGGACTAAATGAGCACGCTGGATTTTTGCCATATCAACAGTCAGGGGATAAATCCTGGGTGTAAATGTGCTTGGACGGCCTTTTGGAGTCAGATGGTTTCTATACAGTGGCTAGATCAAACAAATGCACTGCGCTTACCAATAATCTTAATACGTGAATGATAAATATCAAATTTAAAAAAAACATCAGTGATAAGTCCTTCTTATAGCTGTAGTGTGCAAACTCCAGGTGACTGTGAAACACACCACACTCACCAGACTTCCATATTCAAAGAGGCATAACAATCCCGGATCGCAATCACAGTGAACGTTTGCTCCTCCACTCTATATTCTATACAGTCCATTCTATACAGTGGCGGCAGCACAGTGGCATAGTGGTTAGCGCTTCTGCCTTGCAGCACTGGGGGTCCTGGTTCGAATTCCGGCCAGGCCACGATCTGCAAGGAGTTTGCAGATAGTGGCCTGGCCTTGCGTGGGTTTCCTCCGGGTACTCCGGTTTCCTCCCACACTCCAAAGACATGCTGGTAGGCTAATTGGCTCCTCTTTAAGTTGGCCCTCTATGTATGCATGTGAGATAGGGACCTTAGATTGTAAGCTCCTTGAGGGTAGGGACTGATGTGAATGTGTAACTATGTAAAGTGCTGCGTAAATTGTCGGCGCTATATAAATACCTGTAATATACAAGAGACTGCAAAGCCCCTTTGAAGCAGGTCAGAAGGGGGTCAACTGCATCTCAAATGCATCCGTCAATTAATTCTGAACGATCTCAGAAACATCTCAAACTGATGTAATTGGCACGACTTCAAACTCCATCAACACAGGCCGTTAGAGGTGATTTTAGCTTACTTTGGAGGTTTTTCCTCTTCTTGATGTGTCTCCAGTAAAGGAAGCGATTAAAAATGTCCCCAACTGGACAAAAACCAAAGTACCTGATAATGTCTTGATACTTCCTTACTCAAAAAATAGTTTTTTCTTTAGACTTCTGTGTCTTAAAGGAGGAGGACATATAAGGTAGGCCCTGTATTCAGGGGCGTCCCGAGGCTGGGTGACACCTGGAGCGGTAACCGAGTGTCACCCCGCCGAGGCGTCACTGCGCGTGACGTCACCACGCGTGTGCGCGATGACGTCATCGCGCACGCACGGGAGTATTCTGATACCTGCCGACGGCCATCTTGGTGATGGACGCCGGCAGAGAGAGGAGGGGACAGTCACCTGGCGGGATAAGGTATGCCGCCGGTTCCCCTCCTCTCTTCTGATACTGTCGGGCGTTCGGTCCATGACCGAGCGCCCGACTTTTCAGAGGGGGGTGACACCAAAATGACTGAGTCATTTTGGTGTCACCCCTCCAATGGTGTCACCCGGGTGCGGGCCGCACCCCCCTTGTGACGCCACTGCCTGTATTCCGTTCATCAAGTAAAAGTATTCCTATTTTGGTAGTGTCTCTTGAAAGGTGCCCTCAGACATATGAGAGCATTCGCCCAATTTAAAAAAGTATAGACTGAGAGGAGAATGTTCCTATGTCTCCAAGTCCGAGGCTGGCCAAGCATGTTTGTTTAGCTAATGAATGTATGATGATTTCATATCAGCATGCAGAGCTGTATGCTGATGTGATTTTTAGTCAAAGGGGGGTAAAGGTCCACTTTAAGACCTTTTTGTGTCTTCATGTAATTTGCCTGGTAATCAGGTTTCATTCAGCCCTTCACATCTTTACTTTGTTGACCTCTGGATCTCTTTCGTTGGACTTTTCAATGGAGAAGGGCATGGTATAGCTCTATCTTGGAGGATTGTTTTGTAGCGAGGTGTGTGGTATAGTTCTGTAGAGAAGGACTGGTCAGTGGAGTAGGACATAATAAAGTTTTATTACTGTGCATTGTTCAGGAGAAAAGAATGTGGCATAGCTCTATAGTAGAGGATTGTTCAGCCAGGGGGGCAGTGGTATAGCTCTATTATGGAGGACTGTTTAGTGGAGAAGGGTATGGAATAACTCTGTGGTAAAGGATGGTCCAATGGAGAAGAGTGTGGTGTAGCCTTATGGTGGATGAGTGTTTATGGAGAAGGGCTTGGTATAGCTCTGTAGTGGAGTAGTGTTCGGGGGAGATGTCCGTAGTATAGCTCTGTGGAGAAGAATTGGACAATGGAGAAGGACGTAGTAAAGACTTAAAGGGCTATTCACTAAAGGGTGAAGAGTTTGGAGAAGTGAACAATCTAGGTCAAAATGGCGGATTTGGAAAAAATTCTCCAATTCAGCTTCCTTTCCAGTTCAGCTATGTTGTCCAACCTAGATTGTTCACTTCACCTGCCTTCTCCAGACTCTACACCCTTTTGTAAAAAGCCCTGTTAGGGTTGTGGGAATGGTATATCTCTGCGGTGAAGGATTGTTCAGTGGAAATAAGTGTATAGCTCTATGGTGAAAGATTGTTCAGTGGAACATTGAGTGATATAGCTCTGTGGTGGAGGATTGTTTAGTGGAGAAGGCCTTGGTATAGCTCTAAAGTGGAGGACTGTTCAGTAGAGAAGCCCCTGGTTATAACTCTACAGTGGAGGATTGTTCAGTGACGGAAAGTATAGTATAGTTCTGTGGTGGAGGATTGTTCAGTGGAGAAGGCCATGGTATAGCTCTAAAACGGAAGACTGTTCAGTGGAGAAGGCTTGGTATAGCTCTAAAGTGGAAGACTGTTCAGTGGAGAAGGCCTTGGTATAGCTCTAAAGTGGAAGACTGTTCAGTGGAGAAGGCCTTGGTATAGCTCTAAAGTGGAGGATTGTTCAGTGGAGAAGGCCTTGGTATAGCCCTAAAGTGGAGGATTGTTCAGTGAAGGAAGGTATAGTATAGTTCTGTGGTGGAGGACTGTTCAGTGAAGAAGGCCTTGGTTTAGCTCTAAAGTGAAGGACTGTTCAGTGGAGAAGGCCTTGGTATAGCTCTAAAGTGGAGGATTGTTCAGTGGAGAAGGCCTTGGTATAGCCCTAAAGTGGAGGATTGTTCAGTGAAGGAAGGTATAGTATAGTCCTGCGGTGGAGGATTGTTGAGTGGAGAAGTGCATGGTATATCACTATAGTGGAAAAGGTCATGGTAGAGCTATATGCTTGACCAGAAGTTAAGCCCTGTATATAAAAAGGTCTGGGGATGGGGCTCCCCAAGCACATAGAAAAAACGTGTTATGCATAGCAACAATTCAGAATCCATCTTGTAGTGGGGTGAATTCTGCTTGGTTGCACTGGGTTTCTGCACTTTACACTTAGGTCTTTTCTGCTTGCATTCGTCATTAAATAAAGCTGAAGATGGTACCTTGTAATCGTTTTTTATGTATTTGATCATGGTTCAGCATTTAAAACCTTTTTCTTTTTTTCCCCCCTCCCAGCGCTGCAGTCCTACATTCGTTCTTATGCCACATATCCCAAGAACCTAAAGCACATCTTCCACATCCGTTCTCTGCACCTGGGCCACGTGGCCAAGAGTTTTGGCCTGAGAGATGCACCACAAAGCCTCAGCAAGCAGCTAGCTGGAAAACCAAAGAAGTACAGAAAAGACCAACACAAAAGGTGAGAATTGACTTTAATTAACTTGGAAAAGAACGCTGCTGCCCAATTGCACTTAATTAGTTTTTCCTTTCATTCTCTAGAATAATTAAAGGGAGGCAGAATCTCAACAAAGACTTACTTTTTCCCAGGAGGCCAACCATTATTTTTCTTATAATCAAAAGTGACAATTTTAGGCATCATTCATACCGTCGTTTCTTATCGGAGGTTACCAAAAGCCCCATGCATTTATTAAGCACAGACACGTTGTACTCTAACAACGCACCACAGCGCATGTGCCTAATGTACACCACATTATGGTGCACACTGTTGCACATGTATGTTATGTGTGTGGGGAAGGAGGATATATATATATATATATACATACATACATACATACATACATACATACATACATTTTTCATTATTTTTTATTTATTCATTCACATTACCATCAAGGGGCTTTGAGGAAATATCAGGGGTCTAAGTAGATTGCTGATGACCAATATAAATTTCCTGGCAAGAGTCAGGGGGACACTTCTGTTATATGTTCATGGTCGCTGAAGGAAAGACTGTTCCTGACAGACAAATTAATTTCTGTTTTCGGATCAAACTTTTGCCCGCACAGGCACGTTACAATAAGTAAGATTTTTGCCAAATAAAAACTACAGTCACAATTAGAAATTCATTCGATTTAAACAAGAAAAGAGACATTTTCCATCAGTCTTTGATTTTCCTCACCAATACAGTGGAATGCAATTGTCAAGTGTAATCCGCTAAAATTAGAAGGACCGTTTTTTCAAACGAAATTTGAACTGAGTATGGGCAGCTTTAGTGATGTGGTGAGTAATCTGATAGTTGTCTGTTGATAGAAACTGTGATCACCCAGAAACACCTATTGTTTTCAATCCATGTATTCCAATCCCTCTGTAGCAGTACTCTATCCTTCCAGTAGAGGTCCTCACTACCATCCAGATCCTGGGACTCTGGAACATAGGTGTGGGAGAGATTTTTACTGAAATACCAGTCTGTCATATCAAAGATCTAAAATATATGCTACCTCTATATCTATTACCAAAATCAATATAAATGTTCCAGTGTCGGTGAAAAATGCATTTTATTTACGTCTGCTTGAAAGCAGAAACTCAACAGCAGTTGTCTGCCTTGTCTTTTGTAGGAGAAATGGACAGGAAGACAGGTGTGTCCCTTACACCCCATTCACACTGAACGACATTACCGGCGATATTGCGGGTTTTTCCGCGCAATTTTGTGCTGAGCGGCTATGAGCGACATTGCACATTTTATCGCGCTACGTATCGCGTTTTTTGGGCGGGACTTCGTCGCTGCTACATTGGGCTGTAACCAATCAACAGCGATCTTGACGTGACACCATTCTTTCCTTCCATTTTGCAGTGCAAAAGTGACTTCTGTAGCGCGATTTTGCGCGATAAACCTCTCAGTGTGAACGGGGCCTAAATGTCTTTCCCCAGACATGGAATTTAATTTACATTACCTTCAGTTCTGATTTAGGTTCTCCAACATGTGCTTATATATATCTGGAAATGTTATCAGCTGCACCATTGTAAAACCTTGTAGTAATTTAGGTTCATTGATTCATTAAAGAGCAGTTCCAGGGAACAAGTAAAACCAGTTGGTGAATGGCTAACTGTATCCAGCAAACACTGGGTACAGTCCACTCAATGTCCCACTCCATAATTTAAATCTTTACAACCCCAAATTCCAGAACTGCCATGGCAGCTCTGATATTTCACACCCGACCTTAGAAGATCTGTGCGGGTGCCTATCTCTTTAATTTCAGACGATAACACTGCAGCCAGCTTGTCAGTTGCCAGAGTTAGCTCAGTTTGCAGCATCGTGCGGAATTTATCCAATAAGGCCATGTCCCTGACACTCACTGGGTCGTCTGCTGGGGTCAGGGGCATGCTATCGAGGGATGAGGAATCAAATACCTCAGGTGTGGGAGTCGGAGAGGCCCGCGGTTCCTCGTGCTGAGATACGTCCGCCATCTTGGGTCCCCGTCGGCTGCGTGTGAATCGCGGCTCTTTCTGCCTCCTGGATCGCCGCATCACGCTCCGCGTGTGGACGAGTGTTGTGTCCGGGGGTTCCGGTGGCTGGATGGTCGGACAGGTAGGCTTATGGTGGCTTTTGTCTGCTTTCCAGGGGATCGGTGGAGCGGAGCTCACTCAACCAGCGGCCATCTTGGTCGGCAGCTCGCCACGCCCCCTAGGTTTTGTCTCTAAAATGAGTATCCAAGTGCCAACAAAACAAATATGGCAACTACTCAGGTCAGTTTATAGCTAGCCAAGGGAGAGGTTCATATGGGCAGGTCAATACACAGAACAACACAACAGTTCCTTAGCACCTTCTCTGTCTAATCTACACAAAAAGCCTATTTAAAGTGTTTAGATTGAAAACAGAAGTTTTAATGCCGGGCAGCATGTAATGACTCGCTGCCTGGCTTCCTGATTGGTCGGAAGCTGGCCAATCAGGAAGCCAGGGGCCGTGTAATGACACGGCCCCCGGCTTTCTGATTGGTCGGGAAGCCGGCTTCATGCTCCCTCGTCATCTCTTGAGGAACTGTTGGACGTCACTGGTGGCGATGGGGTTAAAGCTACAGGAACACATTAGAAGGCCAGAATGGATTTCCACATCATGTCAATCAAAAGCTGAAGTCAGGCTTGCAATAGGCTGATGATTAGGAAGTAGATAGGTACTTAGATGTGATTACAGGAGGAAGAGAGTTTAGGGCGAGTGGTGATAGCTTGGCAAGGTTCACTAGTAGTTCAAAAGGCATTCAGGAGGCAGAGCAGTGACACCATAAGTTCTTAAACTGCTGTGTTCTCTGTAGCCATATGGTACAGCGAGAGTGGGTGAAGTAGTTAAATATATGCTAATAATCTTACAAATCGCAGCCAAAACCTTTCCTATTCACTGGATTTATTTTTCTTAACTCTGTGTTTAGCTCGAGTCGCCCTTAAAAGACAGGTGTGTGTATTCCTAAACTTTTATACAGCCATATGGAAACTGATGTTGGCTCTGTATAATACAGTGCGCTCACATAGCAGTGGTGTGAGCCATTGTCCAGGCATTCAGCGGGGCCAATCTGCGACTCTTGCAGAGGCAGATGGATAACTGACTGGGACCCCCCCCTTTCTCATGGGTCTCAGGCCATGACTAGTAGGATTTGTCCTCTCCTTTATCCCACACATAATAGTGTGATTAGCAGATAAGAAGCACATTACATAGCATGGGGCCGCCTCTGAAGACAGCCAGGCACTGCTGTGTCTAACGACCAGAGGCGTATCACGCGATTAGGCCGCCGAAAGTCGGGGTCTGTGCACCTCTATTCTCTCCGCACAAGGCAAGCTCCCGGGAAGCATGAACGTGTCGCGTTCCAGAGCACAAAAGATCGTTTAAAGACCTTAAGGGATCATTAAGTGATCATTTAAAGAGAATTTAATCTTAAAAGGCCAACATACAATTTATCATCCCTTCCCGGCTCAGGACTGCCTGAAACTGAAGCTACCACTGCAGATATTTCAAAATGCCGCTTGACAAGGCGCAGTTATAGCCTTCCTTTTTTATTTAAGATTTACCTGTGAAATTGATAGACTTCAATTTACATTAAGCTCATCTAAACCCTTGGTTCTCAACTGGTGGGTCGTGACCCAAAAGTGGGTCGCGACCCCATATTCAGTGGGTCGCCGCATGCCTCCCCATAGCCCCCCTGTAGCGCAGCACTGTCCATTCTTGCACCAAGCAGCCATTTAAAATATGCTGCCCAGCGCCAAGTGTTGACGTGAGGTGGGCTGTGGGTATGGCCGCCAAGGAGCTCCCTCCATACGTTCTTTACTTACAGCTCCCTCGCATGTCCTGTAGAGGTGCCTGGACTGGAGTGACATCACATTCTGGCTCCCAGCACCTCTACAGGCGCACATGTGAGCTGTACAGGCAATGCACATATGGATGGAGCTCCATCACAGCACAGCAGCCCACACTGCCATATGTTCCATTGCAGTGCGACTTGGGTCGCGACTTAATGACCAAGGACAAATGTGGGTCCTGAGATTACACAGGTTGAGAACCACTGATCTAAACCCAACAACATAAATGTAATATATTGCAGTAGGGATGCACCGATACCAGTATTTCGGTATCAAGTACCGATATTTTTCTTTCGGTACTCGCGGATACCAATTACCAAGTACCGGAAGTCCCATTCAGGAAGCCAGGCGGCGTGTAATGACTCGCCACCTGGCTTCCTGATTAGCAGTGAAGCCATCCCCATGCTTCTCGTCACTAGGTGAGGAGAAAGCATGGAGCCGGCTTTCTGGCCAATCAGGAAGCCGGGCGCTGTGTAATGACGAGGGAGCATGAAGTCAGCTTCCCGGCTAATCATTACACGGTGCCCGGCTTCCCGATTGGTCTGACCAATCAGGAAGCCGGGCATCGCGTTATTACACTCTGCCGGCTTCCTGATTGGCTGGGAAGCCGGCTCCATGCTCTCTCGTCACTTGTGACGAGAGAGCATGGAGCCGGCTTCCTAGCCAATCAGGAAGCTGGCAGCGTGTAATGACGCGCTGCCCGGCTTCCTGATACCGGAAGTATCGGGCTAGGCATCGGAGCATTTTGGGCGAGTACAAGTATTCGGCATCGATAGCGATACTAGTATTGGTGCATCCCTATATTGCAGCATACCAGTCCTTAGATGTGGTGGCTGCTTGAGTTTTCAGGTTTTTCCCTTTATTTTTACCTGCTGATCCTTCCAGAAACGCACTTCCTGTCCTAGGGGGGCACTCACTCACTGTGCTGTATCTATGAATAAGCAACGTGATCACCCTTGGATAGGTACTATGGACTAAGACTACAGAACACCTGTCCCTCCCTTCTCTATACCATAGGGAGGAGGTGTTCTGTATTTAACTGAGAATTATGGAACAATATTATCTGATAAATCACCAGAGAGCACAGGAAGTTATCAGGGCACTGGATTTCTGGCAGGA